GGAGAGCGATAAGATAGTGGATTATAAAAATATGTACAGTGCGGAGAGAAGTAAACAAAGATTTTACATACACACAAACACACACAAATTCCTTGTACACATAAAACCACGTAGGGTGATTTGAGTGTAGCACTCCCTCCAACCCTTCTTCTCCTTCTTTGGGAAGAGCCATTAACTATAAGATACTGAAACCCTACTGCCCAGACACATGTGCCACCTCATCGAAACCTTGGTCCACAGAAAACATTCCATCCCCTTTGAAAACAGCACATCTGCACCCACTGACTATCCATAATAAACTGCAGCATCCTGGTACTGCACATACATCTGGCACTCTTTAGTTCTTCAGGAACACACCTGAAAACAGAAGTGCAGTGGGCCATATTGGCTGTGGATTTACAAGTGTTAGGATCTAGCCCATGGGTTTGGGGAAGGTTGTGCCAGTGTGTGTGAAGAAGAATTTGGGCAACTACCGGCTACCTTACTTCCTCTCAGCCTCAGTTCCCCAGCTATAAAGAAGGGGCAGGAGCTACTTCGTTCACCAAGGTCATTTGAAAATCAAGGACGTGCCGTTGAATCAAAGTGACAATAAATTAATTGGACTCACCGCTAATTGCTCCCACTCTACCACAAGGATCAGGGTGGCTTATAATCTGATTTTACTCCTAGGAAGGCATGCTAAGATAATTGTGAGCTCTCACTGAACACAGGAAGCTAACTTACCCTGAATCAAACTGGTAGTCGATTAAGTCAACCTAAGAATATCAACACGGACCAGCAATAGCTCTCTGGGGACAAAGGCAAAGTCCTCCATGGCCAAGCTACCACAAACCTTTTGGCTGGACATACCTGGGGTTGAACAGGGAATACAATACAACTCTATAATACAGAGCTGTGTTCTTTCTAGAGAAGGACACTCAGATTATGCTTGTAGGGTTTGATTCATAAGAACGAAGGAAACTGGTTTATAACAGCACACAATGCTGGTCAATCCTTCAAGTTAGCAGAGGAAGCTAAACTACAGGCCCCATCATCCCTAGTCCCTGTCCATGTTGGTGGAGACGATGGAAGGTGCAGTCCAGCAACATCTAAAAACCTAAAATTAAGAATCATAGATGGTAGCCCAAGATTCCTAACTCTGACTAGCAGCTGCTAATCCAGAGTTTCAGGAAGACAGCCTTCCCACATCATCTGCTACCTATCTGTTAAAAACACCAGGAATGGAACTCCAGACCTTGTACATGCTAAGCAAGTGCTCATCACCAAGCTATATACCGATCCCAAGCTTATCCATTATCACCCATGTTTGCATCCCAGCATGAGATCACACCACTTCCATGGATCAAAGCAGAGAAGCTTTCTGAACTGGAAAAGAGCATCTGCAATTTACAGCACCTTCACACTGGACAGACAAAAACCAGCTCCCAGAGGGGCTCCTTGATTGCTTGTTTGCTTAAACATTCTAAATTAATTAACAGCACCCTTGCTGAGCTGCTGACACACGGACATGCTCGTCCTGTACAAAGCTTTGCAGTCTTCATATTCTCGTGGCTATGCGGGGAAATTCTGCTTAGTTTATTAAATGCTAACGCCAAGCAGAATATGTTACAGCCACAGGATGGCTCTCAAAGCAATCACTGCGGAGCACATTCGGAAACTGGCCCATTGAGCCAAAACTGTTCCGTAGATCTTAACTGAGCTGAGAGATGATGCCTTTGCAGGGAAATGAGCTCTGGAGCCAACTAAGCTGCTGTAGCTGCACCTTCCAGATCATATTCCAGCCAATTTCTCTTTCCAAGCCGTGCTTTTCTCCAAGGATCTCAGGAGGACTCCTCCTCGCCACCCATTCTCCCACCTGTTTTATTATCACAACAAGCCTAGGAGGTAAGTCAGGGTAATTGGTGGTGAGTAGCCTAAAGTTTATCGGGCAGGTTTTTAGGATGAGCCAAAAAAATCACTCACACTCTTTCCATGGAGCAGGCAGCGTTCTAGAGGTTCAGAGTGGGAAACAGCATTAGGAGACAACAAGCCTAGGAGGTAAGTCAGGGTAATTGGTGGTGAGTAGCCTAAAGTTTATCGGGCAGGTTTTTAGGATGAGCCAAAAAAATCACTCACACTCTTTCCATGGAGACATGGAGCAGGCAGCGTTCTAGAGGTTCAGAGTGGGAAACAGCATTAGGAGAATGCAAGAGCAGGTGATACCTTTATAGACTTTTTTTAAAAAAAAAAATCACCCCTGCAGATTGTATAGGATTTTTTTTAAAGTGGTCTATAAAGGTATCATCTACTCTTGCATTTGTACTTTGTATTGACCACACAGCTCCTTTTTATTTCAACTGTTCCATAGACCTTAACTGAGCTGAGTGATGATGCATTTATGAAGCTATGAAGCTTTCGGGTCACCTCCAAGGAATCTAATGCACAGAACTCTTTGTCAGGAATGGAGGATGAATTGCTGGACTTCAGCTCCTATCATCCTGCACCATTGGCTATGCTGACTACAGCTGATGGAAGCTGTGGCCCACCGTCTTCCAGAGGCCACCTATTCCCCATCCGTGGTATACAGAGACCATTCTTTAAGATTCTTCGTATTATTAGTTCTCTGTTTCTGACACAAGCAAATTAATCAGACACAGTGGATCACTGTTGTTCCTAAGGGTAGTAAGGATTCAAGCTAAAGCTACATCTAATTCAATGCCATGTGGATTTTCTATCATTGTCACTATATCTATAGCCTTGAATTTCCCTTCCATGCTAATGGATGCATATGTTTCTGGTGCAAGGCCTACAGATGGGATCAGTAAATGAACCAAAAGAAAATTATTCTTCTGTCTTTGCAGGGAAGGAAAGTTTTTTTCCAGAAGTCTGAAGAAAGAAACTTGCCTTCTGTTGGCAGGGGCATAAAATGCAAATACTTTGCAGGGATACCTGGCATGGTGGAGTGGAGAACTCAGAAGGCCTGTGTTCAAATCCTTGCTCAATCATGGAAACTTTTTTCCAGAAGTCTGAAGAAAGAAACTTGCCTTCTGTTGGCAGGGGCATAAAATGCAAAGACTGTGGCCAGGTATTGGGACTTCGCAGGGATACCTGGCATGGTGGAGTGGATAGCGTAATGGATCAAGGCCTACAGATGGGATCAGTAAATGAACCAAAAGAAAATTATTCTTCTGTCTTTGCAGGGAAGGAAAGGTTTTTCCAGAAGTCTGAAGAAAGAAACTTGCCTTCTGTTGGCAGGGGCATAAAATGCAAATACTTTGCAGGGATACCTGGCATGGTGGAGTGGAGAACTCAGAAGGCCTGTGTTCAAATCCTTGCTCAATCATGGAAACTCACTAGGGCTGTAGCACTGGTAAAACCACTCCTTAGATATCTCACTTACCTTGAGAGCCCTATTAGGATTTCTATAAGTCAGGTCCAACTTGACGGCATGTAACAACAACATTGGAACTTTGCACTAAAATGCATCATATCAACACCTGCTATTATGAGCCTCAACATTACAGATGGCTGTACTTAGAGGAATGATAAACCTTCCCTCCTCCAGATGTTTTGGACATCAACTCTCAGAAATTTCCAGCCAGAAAGAGCAATGATAAGGAATTCTGGGAGTTGTAGGACAAATGAGCCAGAGGACCAAAGATTCTCTAGCCCTGAATGTTAGCTTTTTGGCAACAGAAGATGCTTTTGGACAAAGGAATTCCCTAATGGCAAGTATTTCCTTTATAGTGAAGTTCAAATGTTCTTCTTGAAGTAAGATTTAAGGAGGTCAACGGGGTTTGCTCACTAGTAACTGAGCTTAAGGGTGCAGCTACAGTACACTAGTAATCTATAAGCTATGCAGAACTTCTGCTGATCTCCAGCTATTAGTAGCAAAAATAACAGCACATTTTGCATTTCTAAGCACAGTGCAGTGCTTCCTATCCAACAGCATGTTGCAGTCCTTATGATTCCATAAGGCAGGTCAGAAACATCATCTCCACATAAGTACAGTCTCAGCAGACACAGGCTTGAGAAAGGCTAACTAGTAAGTTGTCAGGCCAGGAAAAACAGCCGGTGTGGTCTGAGCACTGGGCATGTGGCATTCCTTCTTCACAGACTGTCACCCCCTAAAGCACAGGCAAGGATTGAAACAAAGATTGCTTCAATCACAGCTTACCATCTTAAGCACTGCACTCCATCAGTGTGATCAGAATGGAAGAGGCAGGATGTAAGGAACTTTTCAGGATCATTTAAGCAACAGCCTGCATAGATCACGCAGCTCAGTAGAATAACATGCAGCTTGATGAAGGTGCTGGGTTCAGTCCTGGGCATTTCTGATTGTTCTAATTGTTTTTAAGATAGGAAGCAGCTGGTGTACAGGAGCCCAGCCCAGCACCCACTGCAAACTAGACAATACAACAACAGGGGATGAGAGCAATAAAAATCAGTAGGTGTTGTAAGTTACCTTCCTGTATTTAATTTCTCTTGATTTAGAGGTTTCTATTGTTCATCAGCATTACTTCCCATACTTTAGACCAAACACTACCTCAGACAACCAATGAAACAGATGAGCTCTAGCTGGAGATATTTTGCAGTTCTCTAGACCCTAAACGCAGCAGTACCCAATGCCAGCAACATGCAAGGGAATCCAGCATCACGAACTTGCTCGGGTGCACTGAAAAGCTTGATCAAACCAGAGGGATGGGAGCGACCAGAGGTAAACAAGCACTGGATGCACCCATCCTTTGAGACCAAAGTCCAGAAAACACAAGCCACGTTCAAACCATGTTAGTAACTAAGCGGGTGCGGATTCTCTACCAGCACACAGAGAGACATGGGCACCAAGGTGACTGCCCTCCAGTCCAGCCTAGGTCACCCTCCCCAACCACCGGCTGCAAGGACTGAAAAGGTGCAGGCATCATCCCCAGGAGGGAAGGTCGGAAAGTGATGAGAGAGGTAACGCGTGGGGGGGGGGACAGGAAGAGAAGCGGTAGGGAAGCAGGTCGAATAAGGTTACTCACAGTGCCCGGAGCTTGACCCACATCTTCTTACTGGGGGCAGACTTGAGCTCCAGAGGAGAGGGGCACCCCTCGGGGGATTCCAGCAAGTCGAGCTGCGGAGCCTCC